CCTTGGGGGAGGGAAGGGCGCCCCTCGTCTCCGGCAGCCTCCTCAATGAGTGCCAGGCTCCCCAAGGAGTTGAGGCTGTCCCTGCCGCCCTGCCTCCTCAACAGGACGTCCGCCGCCTCCAACGCCAGCAGCACCTGTGTCGCACAAGTGGGTCAGCTCTTCCAGTCCTTCTCGTCCACGCTGGTCCTAACCGTGCTGGTGGCCCTCATCTTCTGCGTGATCCTCCTCTCCCTCGCCACCTTCCACGTCCACAAGCGGAGGATGAAGAAGCGGAAGATGCAGAAGGCTCAGGAGGAGTACGAGCGGGACCACTGCGCTCGCAGCAGCGCCCAGCAGCCCGGGGCAGGCGCGCAGGGAGAGGTGCCGCACGGAAGAGACATCCGCCTGGGAAGAGCCCCCCAGGACTCGGAGAGCCGGCGCCCCTCTCCTTCGGCAGCCCCCAGCGCCCAGCCGGCACGGGTGTGTTTGGACACAGCTGGCGTGGGGCTCCTGCAGACGGTGGTTTTGTCATGATGCTTTGGGGGAGACCTCGCGGAAGCGCTGGTCGGTGTTTGTAAATATGCGAGTGGTTATTGTAGTCCCAAAAGAAGAGGAAGACGAAGACATTGCTAATTCAAATGAACGAACAAGCCCACGATCCAAGCGCATGACAGATCACACTGCGTTTCTCATTGACTGTGCAAGGAAAGGATGTGTCTTTTTCCTGGAGAAGCAGCTGCACACAGCCAGCAAACACCAAGTCATCCATTTGGAGGAAAGCATGGGGGGTAGGGGTTCCTTTTCCCTTGACATCGTTACGCCAGGGACCGGGATGCTCCCACTCTCCTGGCTTATCCCTGCAGCCTATGTCACCATCGCATGGCATGGATCGGGGTGTGGGTGCCCAGCGCTGGGAGAGAGGCAGGTCCACAGGGTGCCGTGGGACACCTGTCCCCTTGGAGCACTGTGGCTTCTTATTGTGTGCCAGGACCTGTGCCCCTCTCCCACCCCTCCTGCTCTTTCCAAGGACTGGATACTGTTTTGTGTAGAAACGTCCACCTCCACCTGGGCGTAAGCTGCCCTGCAAGTGCCCTCCAGCTTGTGGAGCGTCCCGCAGCCTGGAGAGCGGAGCACGCTGGGCTGGCTGCACGGAGCAACCCTGGGCTTCCCCTTCCCCTCAGCCCTCCTCATTTTCAAGTGCAGCCTCCCCCGTCAAAGACACGAAACCTGGAACCCTGTTTGGTTTGTGTGCCTGGGAGGGGGTGTGCAGTAGGTTGCCCATTGCCCCGCCAGGAGGGTCTCCCTGGACCTCCTGCTGGTCCTGGAGCAAACCCAGTCCTGCGCTGGGTACCCTGCGCCAAATGTGCTGTGTTTACAGCTTTGCCTCCCAACAAGGAATCCTGCGGCAGTACAGATCTGGCTTCTACTTTTTTATGCTTATATATATATTTTTAATCCTCCTAATCCAGTAGATAGTAAGGAACAGCCAACACTTAATTTTTCTCCTTCTTTCCCCTTTTTTGGGAGCGACCCACACAATTGTGCGGCATGTCAGCTCTTAAACCCTGACAAAGATTTATTTCAGAAGTGGGTGGTGTAGTTTCTCCTTGGGAAACACTGACAGTCGTTGTTTGTAGATCGCAAGAGCAAGTGGCTGCCGTGTGTGTGTTGGAGGAATCCAGAGCAGTGTCAGGTACAGGAACTGCGGCTTCGCTTAGCAATTAAATCGATGAGCGTTACTTGAAGGTGCCTTAACGGAGTGGCCGTATCCAAACTTTGAAACACCTTATGTTGTGTCATAGCAGAGGCAGCCCTCTACTGTGTGTATTAATATCTAAAATACACTGCAAAGGAAAAGTAATCCCACGGGATTTTTTTTTCCTCTCCTAGCTTTCAGAGTAGTCCCAGCAGATAGTGATAGTCTAGTTTTTAATAGACTGTGTCCAATTATTCCTGCTTGGCTCTGTCTCTCACAGTGTTAGTTTGGAAAACTAACAGTTTGGGAAAATCCCAGCCACTTAAAGGTAGGACGGAGCTCTAAGCAGATAGTGAATACTGTTAACTGATTTAAATTGAGGAAACGAGGGGACACATGTGCTCCATACTCCTTTAACAGTGCCAATATGCAGGAGGTTCAGGGCAGTGCTTCTATCGTCTAGTTTTATCCATTTCCAATCCGACCTGGTCCAATGGGAAATTGCTGTTGAGTTTGGATCCATGCCTGCAGCATTTTAGGCAAGTACAGTGTCATCCAGCCCAAGGAGCTACTCCACAAGCTGAGGTTAGTGTGGCAAACATACCTATTAACAAATGGTGGTTTTTTCACTTTGCAGTTTGATAGGAATGATGGCTGATCGGATGCTAATGGTTACTTTGTTTTTGCTGGGCAAGGAAATTGTCTTTGTTTTGTTTCCCCCAATAAAGGATGCATGAACTTTTGTATTTAACCTCCTTATGCAACTGCAGCACAGTATTGCACCACAGGGAATAGATTTAGGACAATGATGAGTGTTCAGTGAGCAGTAATGGAGCTTCCAGCTCCTTGATCTCCACTAAATAGAGAGATATTACTTTCCCCTTTATTTTGTGCCTTTTGTTTTTCCCCCTAAACCAGTGTATACTTTCTGAGTTTTATAAAAGCAATAAGATGTTCCAAATCACTCCAGTGCGTTTCTGGTTGATGATTCCACTTCTTTAGTGTCTGAAGTCAGATACTCTTCCTTCTGCCTTATGCACTCAAGGCATGCAATAATTCCCCAGAAGTGTACTGCTTGTCACATCTCATTGCAGTTATAAAATTGCCCTATTTTTGAATAATAATAAAAAAAGGATGGAGGGAGATACACATATATACCTTTATATATACTATGGATATATAGGTATATATATTATTTATATATTTCTCATGACACTAAAAGTAGTTGCAAAAATGTAACTAGAAATAAAATGTTATCATGTAAAACTCTACCCTCTGTTAATTAGCTTTGATTTAATATTTTAATATCTCTGTATTTATGTAAATCTATGTAAATTATGTGGTCTATAAGTAAAATTTCATACTGACTTTAATTTTCTCAGAACTGTGAACTTCTTGTGGTGTCATTTAAGGTATTGCATTTCTAAAATTAAATTATACAAGATACCAGAAGTTATAAATTCCCATTATCACACAGTAATACTGCAATATGGTTCATGAATACTCCCAATACACAATCCTATCTCGAAGTATTGTAGGCTTATGAGGTTTAATTGAACAGTCTCAGGAGATCTAGCTGATACAAGCAGGACACGTAGGTTTTCATTTTCATGAAACAATAAGCAATCTAGGGAATAAATGTGGATTTTTAAAACAGAGTTTATGCTTGGAGGTTCTGTCAAATCAATTGCTTCAAAACCCTAAAGCTACAGCTAAACTTCTGCACTTAGCATTCAGTATTAATAAGGCTGATGCTTCTTTCCCTTCCCCCCCTACTTAAACTAGAAAAGTGTAGGAAATTGTTCATATTTCTAAAGCATACATTTTTGGCTAACTGAAACTGCCCAAAGGGTTTTGAATATACATATTTTATGCAAGTGTAATATCTATGTATCTGTATCCATATATTTAAATATTTTTGTGTAATCTTTTCTACAATATTTGATAGAGATGCTGGGTAAATGCTTGTGCCATTCTTGTACGTAAGAACGGATTTATACCCTGTCGATATGTACATTCTTTTTTCCTGCAAATTGTTACAAGTTTGCACTGTTCTCGGTAAGCTGTGATGGAGGCTGGACAGCTGTGTGCTAACAGATAAAAGAATTGACAGTCTCCCCTCTGTTAAGGGGCACAGCTTCTGGCAGGATTTTCCTGGTTCTGACTAAGAAATTGGGGCCTGTTGCCAACCAGCGTCTTGGCTGCGTAAGGATAAGAAGTGCTCGACAGCACCTAACCCGTCTGGTCGTCGTCCTGCGGAAGAAGCACGACACTTTTACTGATTTTACAGAGGCTAGTGAAAAAGAAGAGCCCATAGAGCAAGTAACCAGCAGTGCTGGGCTGAATCGGGGTGTCCGAGGCTCCCTGCCCTGAGCTCACGTCGTCGGAGCTGACGGCTTCTCTGCAGGCTTTGGGCAGCTCCCATAGGCATCAAGAGGAGCAGCTGCCAGCGATTTCCACGGGGGCTGAACCAGCCCTTCGTCCACACGAAAGGCTGTCCGTGTGCCCATAGCCAGCACAAATCCGCACGCGTGGATGGAGACCATTCCTTAGGAGCCTCGTGTCCGTCCCGGGCAGCGCAGGGAACCGCCCTGCTCCTGGCAGCGCCGCTTCTGTCGACTGAGGTGCTCAGGTTTGTCAGGCCAACGTGGATTGTGGACAGGGAGAGTCACTTCATTCAAACGCATCATTCCAGCGTTTTCTCTGTGGGGTTTTGTCCACTGCAAATGCAATCTCTGAGATTAAATTTGCAGGCTCTCCATCCAGACCTGTTCTATCTCTCGATATATCTCTCTCAGATATATATCTGCATATATATACGGATACATAGCTGGAACGAAAGGCTGGACAAAAAGCAAAGAGCAGAGGTTCTGTATTATAAGCATAACTGTCCTATGACTAAAAACTATTTTTTTTCTTTTGTTTTTAATTAGTTTTAAAGGCTACTATCTTTAATGTAAATAGCAAGTTACAAAAAAAAATAATGTTTTCCATAGCATTTCTGAGTAGTTGCTATCTTGTTTCTGGAAACCGATGTCCAGTGTTTTGAAGCAACTGTGCTTTTCTTGTTCTGTTGTTATGAATATGAGTGCAACTTTTATGTAGGGAGGAAAAAACATGATTTGACTCTTTAGACTCGACTAAATTATTATAAAATCCAAATATAGGACTGCATTACTTTCTTTTGAGTAATCATTCCCTCTTCACGTTTGTATTTTTTCTATGGGTACTTGAAACCCTTACATTTTATTAAGTACACAGTATATGGGGGAAATACAAACAATAAAGCGGGAAACATTCTTTTTTCCTCTTTTGTGTAAATAGCAAAATTTATAATGACTTAGAATCCATTTCATTACATTTTTCATCTACATAGAAGTTTGCATGACTCATATACAAACTTTTAATAACATTTTTATTTGTGTCAAATATTAGAATTACTTTTATCCAGGATTGACTTTCCTGTCTCTCTCTCGTAACTAATACCTTTTTTTTTTCCCTGAAGGCAAGTTCTCCATCTGATTGCTAAATAAATTTCTGGTAGAAAAGAGCCTCCTTCTGTTTCCAGTCCTTTGCATGTAGGTCTTTGGTTTCATTCCAGGTGAACTGAATAGTATAGAAAAAGTGTTTGGAACTTGTGAAGGCTGCATGGTGCATAGAAGCGACGAGAAGCAGGTGACTGAGGAGCAGTGAAATTGCTGTCCTTAGCCATAGTCAGCTTTCCCTTTGGGAGCTGCAGTGCCGAAGCCTCCTCAGCCGTGAGATGAACCTGGAACCGTAAGGGTCCACTCTAGCTGCAGAGGAGACAAATACCAAACTCCTGTTACTCCAAAACATCATTTTCTGTATGACAGTGTATCTCATTTTCAGCAAATTATGTCTAATGTATTTCTTATTCAAATCAAATAAGTTTTTACTGCTGCACTGGTACTATGTTCCCTGTGGATAACTAGAAGAATTAATTTTCCAACCTTTTTAACCTAATACCTTCACAAACATCAATTTTGTATTAGGAAATAAATAAATACTTGGATCAGAACACTGTAAGTAAAAACTGCCATTATTTATATAATCTGGGTTTTCAGTTTCATTTGGCTTTTC